ATGGAATGGACGTTTGAGTTAATAGTCTCAGGATGTGAGGTAAACCATATGTGTGTGTAAGTATTTCTAACAAAAGTAGCAACTGCTAGACTGGCTAAATAACTGTAGAGCTGAATGATTCTCACAAAGTAGGATTACATTGTGCCTCAAAAGGCCTCTGTTGCTTTGAAAACCATCAACTCTCCCTGAACCATATTATATTGGATAGGCTTTGTTGTAATTTGCTGTCAGACCAGGTTATGACACATAGACTTGGTCACCATGATGCATGATAAATTTTGAGACGTGAAGAAATGGAATATGTTTCTCTACTCTGGAGATTTCTGAATGATCTGGAATATGTAGATCCATTGTAACTTGACTGCCTGACATGGTTATGACACACAAACTTGTTTGGGTTTTCTTTTACCCCTTCCAGTACAATTAACAGTCGTCTCTTTTGGATAACTTCTTTAAAGTAGGACTGGAAGACAGTGTTTTATGGTGATTGCCATCCCTCCTGGTGAAGCAAATTACAAAGATAACACTCAGAGACTTCTATACTGGGTGGCATGTTGTTAGTGACGTATAGCCATGTAAAACATGGCTTCTGTGTGTGTGTTTATTTTTTGAGGGGGGGGGGTTGGATGGGACTGGGAAGGCTATGCTTTGTACCCTTCCCAAACCTTCCACACATCATCTAACAAACCCCCAAAGGGACTCGTGCTGCTCCTGCTTCCCAGTAGAAAGAGAAAAAAGGAGGCAATCCAAAGGGTGCTATGACTAGTCTGGGCTCTGAGGGGGAAGAAAAAGAGTGTGAATTCCATCTTTCAGCACAACCTAGTTTTTAACCCCCTAAGCCAAGAACAGCTGCTTCTCCATAATACAAGGGTTGAATGAAAAGTAATGCCTCCACCTTCGTAACTCCTCAACAGATGGCAGTACTAGTATGCGGCAGGTACTGGCTTGTCCAGCAGATTCTCCTCTACAGTTCTATTTTGGCAGGAAGCCTTACCACTGAACGGTTGTGTTTTTAAAGTGCACAGTATGGAATCCTGCGCAGATGGTCGGTCAATGCGACTTAAGCAACGTGCAGTCACTGAATTCTTGACAGCAGAAGGTGTCACCCCAAAGGAGATTCATCAGAGAATGCCAGCTCTTTATGGTGATTGTGTTGATGTGAGTACTGTGCATCATTGCGTGAGTAAGTTTAAAGATGTTGAAGTGGGAACATCTGACTTGCATGACAAACAAAGAGTTGGACATCCTGTGACAGCAACTACCAAGTTTCACAAGCAAAAAGTTGACAGATTGTGAACAGTGGTAGTTAAAGAGCACATTCTAAGGATTATTTCTGCGTTTGATTTATTAAAATATTCCCATCCAAACCCAAGTAACAAAAGTGGAGGCATTACTTTTCATTCAACCCTTGTAATAAGATACTTTTTTAACATTTCACTCTATCTCCCCAAGGTGATGTGGGGCAGATTACAGAAGGCACATATGGCAAATGTTCAATGACGTTATACAATGAACAAAGATAGACAGTACATAAACAGTGGTAAAGGCTTTGTCATCTTTCCCCCATCTCTGGCATCTGGAGGCTGTGCTTGACTCCAGCCACAGGGAGGTGCTGCCGCTCCATCTTCCATGCCGACGAGCTTTGATGCCCTCCTGGTCAAATGGCCGGCATGTCCACATGAGTGCCGGTCCCAATTCAAGGTGCAGGTTCTTACCTACAAAGCCCTGAACGGTTTGGGTCCCGCCTATCTGTGTGACCGCATTTCTGTGTACGAACCCACACAATATCTTCGATCATCTGGAGAGGTCCTGCTCACGCTCCCATCTCCTTCACAGGCTTGATTGGTGGGGACGAGGGAGAGGGCCTTCTCGGTGGTGGCCCCCTGACTCTGGAACTCACTTCCCAGGGACATCAGACATGCCCCAACTCTGGCAGTCTTTAGGAGGAGCCTGATAACGTGGTTGTTCCAGTGTGCCTTCCCAGAATAAGGAAAGCTCTCAGCAATATGCCCTCAAAATGCACTTTACCACTGATTTAGGACTGACTGCGTTCCCTCAATTCTCTCTGAAAAATCCTATCCCAGTTATATCCTATCTTGTTCACGTCAGCATTATTTTTAAATTTTAATCTATTACATTTGGCCCAGCCATTGGTTTTAAATGCTTGTATGTCACTGTTGATTGTTTATTGCCTATTTTTTGTTTATGTGATTTATATGAATTGTATTGTATTGATTCTTTTATTGATGTTTTATTTATTGACATATTGTGGGCTTGGCCTCATGTAAGCCGCACCGAGTCCCTTGGGGAGATGGTAGTGGGGTACAAATAAAGTTTTATATTATTATTATTATTATTATTATTATTATTATTATTATTACCTCCCTGCCAGAGTGGTACCTATTTATCTACTCACATTGATGTTTTTGAACTGCTAGGTAAGCAGAAGATGGGGTGACGGTGGGAGCTCACCCCAACTCAGGTTTGAACTGCCAATCTTTTGATCAGCAAGATTTTCTGCAGCTGGTAGTTTAACCCGCTGTACTAAGCTCGACCCTTCTCCATTGATGTAATAGCCTTTCACCTGTTTCCCAACCAGAACCAACAATTAGTAGGAGGGGTCCCCACTGGCCTTGATTACTGCTAGAGGGGACGGGGGACAGGAAGAACATGCTCTGCCTGCATGATAGAGTATTTCAGCCTCAGTGCATTGACTATTAGCTCATGGTATTTCTCAGGGTTCTTGTAATTCTTAGTGCTACTCAACAAAGAAATCATTACAAGATAATTTACTTTTGAGCTATTTTGCATAAATGACAGACTTTATTCATCATTAACTCAGCCAGACTCCTGCAAGTTATTTTACACATACATATAATTGCTTACTTTCCCAATTCATTGTATAAGCGTATGATTAGAAAGCAGCAGTAAGCAAATCAGGGGATCAATGACAGTCTGAAGTATTATAACAATGCTTCCTCTCATTTTGGTGAAAGAATAAACATTTCACAATAGCAAAATAAGTTTACCTACTTTTCAGAATGTGCCTTAAATTGTATATTTCTTGGTCTTCAAATAGATACTTCATTCTAGTTTCATGTGGTTTAAAAATAAGTATTCACTTCATGTATTAGGAATTAGCAAATAATGCCATAAACAGCTTTCAAACAGTGTTTACTAAGAATAAATAATAGCAGTCATGAAAATATTTAGACACCGTATCCATATATTCACAGAATTTAAGTTAAAAACAAATCCAAAATTACTACCACTTGGGCATACCGTTTGATTTGTATAGAAAACAATCTCTTCAGATAAAGATATACATTGAAACAATACAGATTACAGTTAAAAACTGGATTTGGCTGCAAAACAAATCAAGACATTCTACATCAGGTACAAAAACATTGTCAATTTAAGAGATGAAAGAAAAGTCAAAGGAACAGGATGCAAACCATCCTCCTTCATTTCCCAGGTAAATTAATCTCACAACCCACTTAACATATCCCAAAGTTCTAAAGTAATTAGAAGTGCAGAGAAAAGCACAAAATCTTCATCACAGTTATCCAGAAGCAGTTGACTTTTCAACTAAATAATGACAACACCTTAATTGCACCCAGTAGTAACAATATGAATTTGGGTCTGGGCAAAACTGTTCTAGTTACAAGTGGCACCACAGCTGTGGCTTTTGAACAGGGCTTCAACATACCCATGCCATCTGTTCTGAACAATGTTGTTCCTAAATGGTGTTGACTTTATTGCAAAGTCCAATGTGCATCACAGGCTTGAAAAAATGGTTTCAGTTTAATTAACTACCTTTGGTGATGTTTTAAAATGCAGTGTTTTCCCTAAATCCTTCATCACCAAGTGATTTTGGTTATGCAGAATATTTAAATAACAGCATATGCATTAGAGCCAGACTTAGTTATGCTTAGAGAAGTCTTGCTGAAAACAATGGAACTAAATTAGTAATGTGCGGCTTATTTCCTAGTTTGGCCTATTCTGATTCTGGATCCAGCCTTCCATCAGAACAATAGCACGACAGTTCCTTAAATGTGTTGTTGAAATCTTTCATAGCCAAAAATACAGGGTTGCTGTGAGTTTTCCAGGCTGTATTGCCATGTCCCAGAAGCATTCTCTCCTGATGTTTCACCCACATCTATGGCAGGCATCCTCAGAGGAGAGAATACTTCTGGGACATGGCCATACAGCCCAGAAAACTCACAGCAACCCAGTTCCTTAAATATTCAAGGATGCATTTACTTGAAAGTGTTATGTGCTTAAAATCTGTTACATTGACCTGTGTAGATTGAGTGATAGTGATTTCTAGATTTTTCCTCCATAGCAATAAAAGGAAAAAGGGATGAACTATTAGCTATATTAAATAGGAGTACTCTCTGCAATGAAGTGAGTACAGTGAATTAAATTTATGGTTATATAATTAAATCTAAATAGTTGCTAGTTCCAACTTGAGTGGACCCATTACATCAATGGAACTTATGCAAGTGCTAATTTACCAACATCTCACTGATTCAGTGGGTCTGCTTTAGCTAGGCTTAAGCAATCGACATCTAGCTATGTATGGCAACATCTAATCTGAGCTGAACATGCAAGAACTAAGCTAAACAAGGACTTTTTAATGTGTTGCTGCAGAGATAGAGTGACACTGCAATAATGCTTGTAATTATGGAATCAGGAGGGGGGGGGGTTCAATCTCACGTTTCTTGTTGTCTGGACAACAATGGGATGGGAAGGAATAGTGTGACTAACTGCAGTCACGTAGTTTCAGACTGCTCACTCACTTTGCAAACAAAGTGGATTCACATTAGCATGTAGTTTACATTAGTATGTAATTCGCATTTTGCTGGCTTATGTGCTCTACTTCACTATACCATAAACAAATAAAGAAACAATTAAGACAGTCCCTTGCCCAACAGTATAAGTGCTTTCTTGGATCACACTGAAGGAATTGGTTTATGTGTGGCGGGGGGGGGGGGGGGGGGGGGGGGGGGGGGGGGGAGTTGGAGGGGGAGAGCAAAATTGCACGATACTAAATATAGCTTCTGCCCTACAGCTGTGTGTGAACCACCACTATATTTATATATTTGTGTGTAAGTGATTTCCATTTATTGTGATAAACATTACATTGAACCACTTTTTCATATAGTCAACTAAGTAACCATTCTATGGCTAGTCATTCAATAAGGATACATTATTTTGGTCCAATTTTACCAACCAAGGACATTGTGAAATAGGAACTCTGGGTAAGACTGAAATGGTATACTATATGTGTGTCTTGTGTACAAAATAATATTTTAACTAAGCACCTGAAATCTCATTTTTGCTGCTTTATTCAGCTAACAAAGCTATTTCTACGTAAGTGGCTCAAAAGAGGTATTAAGCATTCTTGTTTAGGAGCATAAGAAAGATATTTGTGAATAAATAATGGAAAGAGAATATTAGAGGAGATACTGAAAAGCATAATCATCCCTCCATCCATATTTAAGTCTGGGAACAATCCAGCCAAAGTGAAACATTTTAAAGTCCAATTGATTTCCATAGGAGAGAATTAGTAATGTGCTCCTCTCCTCACTGGCATCACTAAAACTCTAAAGTGCTTCACTTTGGCCAAATACAGGCCCCCAATTATGAAAGAAGCACCCATCTACTATATGAAGTTATAAATTATAATGAAATTATGAATGCCACACTCAAGAAATTAGCTCTGTTTCGATTATTGCTCTGCATCTTCTTCCAGTAATGTGCGATTGCAGCTACAATGAAACAAGAAAATTTACCACAGTTAAATAGTCAGCTTGAAAAATCAACTCACGACTTGTTGCTCAGGCAGCAAATAATAGTAAAATGAAAGGCTTTTGCATAATCCAAGTGATCAACTTGAATATTTTAAATCTGAAACTGATTCAGTTTTGATTTTTATAGGAAACATATTCTTTTTGCAGTCCTCAAAAGTGACCGGTTCCACATTTGTAGTAACTGATGAAATGTAAGGGAAGATTTGAAAGGATATGGTTCTTTACATTGTCTTCAGTTTTTAATCTGCTTTAGCTTGAAGATTTGCTGAGAGCACTGGCAGATCGGCGTAACTTTCCAGAGAGCTTGTTTTTTGTGGCACCTGCTAGTGTTGCTGGCATCTGCTCCACCGACTCTGCTCCTGCAGGGGCAGTTAGATCAGCACTCAGGCTTGTAGTAAGACTGCCTAAAAATAAAGATCATATTAGAACAAAATGGATTTAAACTAATCAAACACGTAACTCCATATGATTGTCAGTATAAAGCAATATGAGATCCCACATCTTTAGGCAAGTCTAAGGGGTATAAGCAGAAGCACAGAAGACTTGTAAGTGACTGGCTTGTCTTATAATGGGATGGGGACAGTGCTGGGCTACAACTCCAATCAGCCCTAGGCTATCATAATCGTAAGAATGCTGAGTTGCAGTCTAACATCACCTGGAAAGCAATCTGGGTAGGGAATTCCAACCCTAGGGCTGCATGTGGCCCTCAAGACTATTTTGTCTGGCCCTTCATCTCCCCCTCAAATAGTAACCAGCTGCTGACTTAGATCTGGTGCTTTTAACAATCCTTACAAAAACTGGATCTCAGATGAAGAAAAAAACCTCAGAAGTTGATGATACAAACATGTTTCAAATCCATGATGCAGGTTTAGAACAGCAATCAAAGTACCCAGTACCATCAGGATGTGGCTGCTGTAGGTAAGGGAGCACATTTGATGAGTGTCTGGGTAGAGAACAAGGTTGAACTGCCTGGTGTGTGTTCCTGTTGAGGTAGGTCACAGGGGGAGAGCAGGCCCAGAGTTTTATAAGCCCTGGCATCCCTCCTCTGGCCCTCTTTCTACTCTTCTCAAGGCTGGATCAGGAGGACTGCTGTGTTGCTCCATAGGATCCATAGTCACGATTTGCATGAATCCTTTTTGCCTCGTCTGTTGTAGTTGCAGAATTGGCACAGGGATGTGAACTGTTGAATTGGCAGTACTGCAAGAGGTGAGAGACAGGTTGCTCTTTTTGAACTACGCTCCCCCCTTACACCCTCTCCTTCTCTGTCCCAGTGGATAATAAGAGTTCTAATTAATATGCCTTTGCATCTCAGGCATTTACCCTACAATCTGGGCAGTTTTGGCCTGTGGTAATTTTGGCATGAATTTCCCAGCAGGTCATAATACTGGGGTGGAAAACGTCCAGCCCATGGGCCATATACGGCCCATGACATCATTTGGTCTGGCTCGGCATGAGGAAAGATGTCTGCCTCAGGATGCCCATTTAACCCGGTTGCTCCTCTGAGCTGCAATGCTGACTCTTCTGTGGACCACGTGCCCCTTACTATTCAGACCCAAGTCAATTCCAGGTTGCTCTCCTCGTATGGACATGTTCTGCTTCTTCATCTCTGGTTTTTGCCATCTTTGCTGAAGCAGTTACTGTATGCACAGAGGCAGCTGCCTGTGCTGGAACTTTTATTTGATATTTAATATAATATATAACTGTATAATTCATAATACTATATAATTGTATAATTATTTTAAATAAAGAAAGGTATGGCCCACAAATAATATCCATATCCAAATGGCCCTTGGCATTTGGTTCCCCACCCATGGCCTTAAAGATCATCTCTGCAACCCTCTTTCCAGTTTCTCTTTTGGCACAATAAGTCTGTCTGAATATACTATAGTGGTCCCTCCATATCTGTAGGATTGTTCTGACCTACATTAGTCAATGGCATGTGGACACACTGAAGTGTGAACATTCACACTGCTGCGTGTTTGTCCATGGTTCCCCCCCCCCCATCTGCGGTGGGTCCTGGAACTGCAGGTATAGTGGGCCCACGGTATGTCTTAAGATTATCCTGACATTGTGTTTAGAAGAAAAATACTTCTGTTTACTGCCACCATATTCATTTTCATTTGTAGGTCCAGAGGTGAGTAAGAAAGACAGGTCAGATTAGTGGTAGTATGTACTGAACGTAACCAATAGAAAGCTGATATCTGTGTTGTTTGTATGCAGGTGTGGAGCAGGGGGATTAGCATTTCCAAAATACCAAGAATATTATTAAATTGAAACAAGACATTCAGAAACAGAATATATATAGTCTTCCAGGTGCATTCTTCAGAGTACAGCTGCATGCCTGCATGCTTTAATTTTTTTAAAAAAATCATACAAAATAATATTTTTAGCAAGACAACAGGATTATGATTCACATTTACATGTAATGTGTCATTTCATATCTGGTTGGATTTCAGTGTGACAACACAGAAAATGATTGTACTGGAGATGAGGATATGAAAGTTCTCCCTGTTATGGATCACTGAGATACTGAAATCATCAAATGCTGGGCAAACATTATGAACTATTTCTAGACTAGAATCATCCTCCCCAGATATTGCTGATGGCAACTGTGGGTTCTAGTGGCATATGTGTAGCTGGTTTAGCAAAATAGCCGCAACCTCACAGAAAGTGGAATTCAAAGCTTGGCTAATTGTGACTCCTTTCCATAACATAGTTGGCCAAGTCCCATAGCTCTGGCCTTTGGAAAGGGGTTGGGTTGATAGGTTGCTGCAGTTCTCTCTGAGTCATTTGAAATATAGCATTGTTATTGGGGGGGCGGTGGTTATTGAGTTACACACACACTGCCTTGTGAGATCTTTAATTCTTTAAAAGGGTGTTAAGTACTAGTTTAATACATGCAAATTGAAATCAGTATTGTTCTTGGATTGAAGATCCTTCCAAATAAATCCCAGAATTTGGGTGTGATGTTGGACTGGATCCTTTCCATAAGGACTTCACTGCAACTTGCATCATTTTTCCCTCTTTGGTTTAGCATATTTTCAGTCAGTTGAGATAAAGTGGGAAGGAGAGCTTCTCTATAAATTGCCTTGTCTGCATCTGGTTGCAGACAGATATAGTGAGGGGCTTCCTACTGGTTTAAGTGGCCATCTGTTTATTTGACTTTGGCACACAGAACAAACATACCACTTATGCTGTTTTAACATACTGCTGCATCATAAAAAAACTCCACCCAAGTCCAGATAGTGCAGCAATACCAAATATTATGCCAAGCTAATTTGCAGAGAATGCAGGATGATGATACAAACGGATCACTCGGTTGTGTAGAGAAATCCAAGTTGAGAGACAAAGGTGAGAAACAGCTTGCAATCTTGAGTGCAAGTCATCACCTTGTGTGAGATGGCTGGAAACTGATCTCAATCCTCTGAATGTTTTAAAATGACAGTTGTATCATGTACTCTATATACAATTTTTTTTTCAAAATCCCCTCTATTCACATTTGACCCTCAAAATTTTGTTGCAGAATTTCATGTAGCACACTGATTACCTAAACAGATGTTTATTTACAGGATACCAAATTACTTCTCAGTCAGCCAGCCTTCAAAGGTACTTACTAAGATATGCATTCAAAATCTGTGGTACAGCCCTACACCTTACTCAGGAATAACCCCTACTATGTTCAGTGAGGCTGAAACTAATGCTTGTTTAGGACTGCAGCCTAGTCTTCATTTCTTCTCACTAAAGAGTCAAAAGCCTAAGATTTAGAGAGTGTATGTATGTGTACATGCAGGAAAGTGAGCATGCAACTTTCATAGTTAGTTCTCAGGCACAATTATATCCAATGCTCCAAGGAACAGAAAATACATGCTGCAATCAAGCTCAGGTGTTGCTGCTGTGTCTCAGAAGACTCCTGCAAATGCAAATACCATTTCATCAGCAATCTTGTAGTTAAGAGCTTTCAAACCCAGTTGCACATCTTTTGAAACACTATCATATAATATATTTTCATAATGTATAAAGTTCTGCATACAATTTTTTTTCTAGGAAAGGCATTTCATCAATAGAATACAACTCTGGTGGGTGCTGTTGGTGTATAAAAACCATCTTACCACAGAGGTTTTTTTTAACTACTATGAATAAAGTTATGCCTGTACTGGGAACTATATACATGTGACTGTTTGTTTTATCAGAATGCTATTAATTGAATGATTTGTTTGTGTGAAAGCAAATACCATCTACTTTTGTTGTTGTGCCAGTTCATCAGGTGGGAGTGTGGGATGACCTAATAGAAAATTACTGGGAAAATGGGTCTGCCATTATGGTGTTCCAACTAGGATACAAGTACATTAGCAGCAATTAATTGTGCAAAACAATGCAAGCAAACATCACACAAATCAACCCATGCTTTCACGTCTTGGTGAAGACTATGACCCAAATGACTACATAGCAATCACTAGGATAACACTTTTGTATTCAAGATGGCCTACTCCTATCCTGACAGCCTTATCCGTACTGATTCCTAAAGGGCTCTTTTTCCTCACACCAATTTCCATATATTTGTCACCCAACTGACCCACAAATTGCACTCCTAGTTTACAATTTTTTCATTTATGTTGCCATTTGACTTAATGTATTGTATTTTATGTTGTATAGGCATCTTCCTAAATGTTTTTACTGGACATGTGGACTGACCCTTTCAGGAGGACATCATGCTGCCCATTCCAGGTCATTTCTCCAGATATGTTCCAGGAAGAGCTAATGTTTTTCATTCTAACAGGACATGGTCGGGAAAAACTTTCAAAAGCACTAACTCGATACTTTGGTCCTGATACAGCTTTCAATTTGTAACTGAAAAAAATGTTACTTGAGTAATTCGTGGTGCTGATGCTTTCCCAATGTACCACAATAAAGCATCCTAGCTTGCTCACTCAGTTAAGAAAGGCATTAAGCACAGCCCATTCCATCAAGTGCTGGATTCAGACTGCCCAGAGCTAAAGATGAGACCAATTCTAAGTTGGGTGGACTCAAAGCTACTGTGGTGAAGTTTTGCTCACATTGTTTTATCTCTTAAATGTTGTGAAAAGTATATCCAAATTATCCTTTCTATTCATCATGTTTTAGTAGAAATAAACCTCAATGGCATTGGTTCTGAGTCCCCAGATCTTTTGGCCTTCAACTCCCAAAAATCCTAATAACTAGTAAACTGACTGGGATTTCAGGGAGTTGCAGGCCAAAACCACCTAGGGACCCACAGGTTGAGAACCACTGCTCTATGGCATCTACTAGTAATATACTGGGGTGCTGTGATTTTATTGCAGGGATTTTCAGAGATGTCCAACATTTCTTATGTGTGTGTGGATGTCTCCCCATCACAATGTGTTATGAGAAGGGTTCAAATGTGTAA